CTTCTGGAGCGATATTTCAACCGGTTGATAATGGGTTATTACCTTGGTGTACCATGCGTATGAGTCGATATGTAGGGATAAGTACAGGGTGTATACTGTTGTAATTGTGCACAGGGCGTAGATAATTGTGAGATACTTGTGTCTAAATCTGACGAATTTCACACGTTGATACAGTAGGTAACGTTGGTGTACATGGCAGTATGGTCGACTATGTAGGCGGTATACAGGGTGTATCCTGCTTGTAAATTGGTGTGCAGGACAGGGGCGTAATACTTGGTGTACGATACTGTGGGTGGTCTAAATTCTGACGATATTTCACGACGTTGCATACATTGGGTATACTTGTGTACATGGCCGTATGGTCGATAATGTCAGGGGTATCAGGGTGTACACTTGTTGGTAATTGGTGCACAGGGCGTAATACTTCGGTGTACGCCTACTTGGTGTTTAAATCGTGACAATAGTTTCAGCCGTTGATCCAGGTGGGTATACTGTGGTGTAGGCATGGCGTATTGGCGATATGTAGGGGTATACAGGGGTATTACTTGTGTAATTGGTGCACAGGCGTATACTTGTGTAGCGATACTTGGTGTCCTAAATCTGCACCGATATTGTCAACCGCTTGATAACATTGGGTATACTTGGTGTACGATGGCGTTATGGTTCGATATTGTAGCGGGTATAACAGGTGTATATTGTTGTAAATTGTGCACAGTGGCGTATACTTGGTGTACGCATACTTGTGTCTAAATCTGACGATATTTCACAGCGTTGAATACATTAGGGCTATACTTTGGTGTAGCATGGGCGTATGGTCCGATATGTAGAGGGTATACAGGGTGTATTAACTTGTTGTATATTGGCGTGCACAGCGCGCGTATACTTGGTGTACGATACTGGTGTCTAAATCTGACCGATATTCAAGCCCGTTGATACATTGGGTATCACTGGTGTACATGGCGTATGGTCGTATGTAGGGGGTATACGGGTGTATACTTGGTTGTTAATTGGTGCAGCAGGGCGTATACTTGGTGTACGATACTTGGTGTCTAAATCTGACGATATGTTCACCGTTGATACATTGGCGTATACCTTGGTTACATGCGTAATTGGTCGATATGTAGGAGTATACAGGGATGTATCCTTGTTGTAATTGGTGCACAGGCGTATACTTGGTGTGAACGATTACTTGGTGTCTAAATCTGAAGCGATATTTCACCGTTGTATACATTGGGTATACTTGGTGTACATGGCGTATGTCGATATCTAGGGGTATCGCAGGGTTATACTTGTTGGTAATTGGTGGCAGCAGGGCGTATACTTGTGTACGAGTACTTGGTGTCTCGAAATCTGAAGCGAATATCTTCAGCCGTTGAATACATGGGTATACTTGGTGTACATTGGCGTATGGTCGAGTATGTAGGGGGGTATATCAGGTGTATACTTGTTGTAATTGGTTGGCACAGGGCGTATACTGTGTGTACGATACTTGGTGGTCTTAAATCTGACGATAGTTTCACCGTGATACACTTGGGTATACTTTGGTGTACATGGCGTATGGTCGATATGTAGGCGTATACAGGAGTGGTATAACTTGTTGTAATTGGTTGCACCGAGCGTGATATCTTGGTGTACGATACTTGTGTCTAAATCTGACGATATTTCACACGTTGATACATTGGTATGGACTTGGTGTACATGGCGTATGGTCGATATGTAGGGGTTATACCAGGGTGTAATACTTGTGGAATTGTGGGACAGGGCTCTACTTGGTGTATCGATACTTGGTGTCTCAAATCTGACGTATATTTCAGCCGGTTGATACATTGGGTATAGCTTGCTTACATGCGTAATGGTCGATGATGTAGGGGGTATACGGGTGTATACTTGTTGTATTGGTGGCACAGGGCGTAATACAAGGTGTAGATACTTGGTGTCTAGAATCTGACGGATATTTCACCGTTGATACACTTGGTAAATACTTGGTGACATGGCGTGTGGTCCGATATGTAGGTGGGTATACAGGGTGTATACTTGTTGTAATTGGTGGCACATGGCGTATACTTTGGTGTACGATACGGTGTCTAATTCTGAACGATATTCTTACCTCCATATATATCGGAGGCATACGCCATGTAACACCAGTATACCCCAATGTACGCATCGGTGAAATATCGTCAGATTTTTTTAAAGAAAAAAAAACCCACCAAAAGGGGGTATGCGTACACCTCAGTATACGCGGCCTGTGCAGGCGCAAGACAAGCAAGTATAACACCCTGTACCCACATATCGAGCATACGCCATGTACACCAAGTATGACCAATTGTTATCATCGGTGAAAGTACCGTCAGATTTAGCCACGCAAGTATCGTAAGCACACAAGTATACGCTGCTGTGCACCAAGTACAAGCAAAGTATACACCCTGTATACCCGCTACATATCGAGCATAACCCATGTAAAACTTGCAGTAGTACGCCAATGGTATCATCGGTGAAATATCGTCAGATTTAGACAGCCGAAGTTATGCGTACACTCAGTATACGCGCCTTTGCATCGCAAGTGACAACAAGTATACCACCCTGTATACCCTACATATCGAGCATACGCCATGTACATCAAGTATACCCAATGTATCAATCGGTGAAATATCGTCAGATTGTAAGACACCCAAAGTATCGTAACACGCAAGTATATGCGCCCTGTCGCCCAAGTACAACAGTATACACGCCTGTATACCCCCTA